ACAGACTGTGGAATCTTAGAGGGAAGGTGGGGGTGGGTGGGAAGAGATTAACCAAAGAATTTATATGCCTTTATGCATAACCCATGGACACAGACAAGTGTGGTGAAGACCTGAAGGCAGATGTAGAGTGTAGGGTGTAGGTATAGGGGACCAATGAGGAAAAATGAGACATTTGTAATACTTTCAACAATCAAGATAAAATAAAAAAAAACACACACACAATGCATGTGAGGAAAAGGGAACAGTATACCAGCTTTCACTGGCTCTGCTCTGTGTTCACTCAATGTTTTTCAGGCAAAGGAACCTGGTGGCAAGACCTTCTGACTCTGGAACTATGCAAGAGTCTTTGTTTTATGGAAATTAGTTTAATTTCATGGTTATCTCAGATTCCAACCATCCGTTGTTTGGGCCCAACCCCTGGAGTCATCTATTTTTCTCTCAATTTCCATACTTTATTGGATCTATCTTATACCAGTATACCTAGAATACACCCCATTGCTACCAGGTAGGTTGAGGCCACCATCTCCTGTCACCTGGACTACTGCCGAAGTCCCGCTCTGTTCTCTCTGCTTCCACTCTTAGCAGCCACTCTGCCCCTCCTCCTGCCAACAGTCTATTCTCAACACAGCAGCCAGAGAGTTGCTTTATAAAAAACGTTGAAATTTCCAAGCCACCCCTTTCTGCAAAACCTGTCAGTGTCTCCTCATTTCTCTCCATGTAAAACCCAAAATTCTTCCTATGATCCTCCCAAGGCCTTCCGTGACCTGGTTCTGCTGTGTCTCTGTGTCATCTGCTGCTGCCATGCCCACAGTCTGCTCCAGTCTCAATGGCTTCCAAGCTGTTCCTCAAATGGGCCAGGCCGTGCCCACCATCGGCCTTGGTGTGGGCTGTCCCTCAGCCTGAAGTGCTCTTCCTGAGATGCTCATCTTGCTCGTTCTCTCAGCTCCTCCAAACCTCCCCTCAGAATGAACTTCTCCATAGGGAGCGCCGTGGTCACTCTATCACAGCTGCAACCTGTGCTTCAAATTAGCCTTCTAATCTTCATTACCCTCCTCACTTTTCTTTTCCCATCCATGTACCTTCTAGCATGTAATTAAGGACAAACAGAATGTGTGCTGCTTGTTGCCTCCCCTGCTTTAGAATAGAAGTTGCATGAATATTTCACAATTTACATAAATATTCCAAAAATTTATACTAGTATAAAGCCAAAAGAGACCCAGGATAGTTGCAGAAATATTGAGAAAGAAGAACAAAGTTGGAGGAATTACAATTCCAGATATCAAACTATACTATAAAGCCATTGTAATCAAAACAGCCTGGTACTGGCCCAAGAACAGGCCTATAGACCTATTGAACAGAACAGAGAGCCCAGGAATCGACCTGTGCCAATATGGCCAATTACTCTTTGACAAAGGTGGTAAAAGCATGCAATGGAGTAAGGATAGTCTATTCAATAAATAGTGTTGGGGAAATTGAATAGGTACATGCAAAAAAAAAAAAAAAAAAAAAAAAAGAGAGAAAAAAAAAGAAAAGAAAAAAGAAACTAGTCCAGCAATTTACATTCTTCACAAAAATAAACTCAAAATGAATAAAAGATTTAAAATGTAAGTTACAAAACCATAAAAATCCTAGAAGGCAGTAAAATTCCTGACATCTCTCTTAGCAGTATTTTCACTGATACATTGCCTAGAGCAAGGAAAACAAGGGGAATGAACTACATCAAATGAACTACATCAAACTAAATGAACTACATCAAACTAAAAAGCAAAAGAACTACATCAAACTAAAAAGCAAAAGAATCCATCAACAAAATGAAAAGGAAACCTACTGTATGGGAAAACATTTGCCAATGATACATCTGATAAGTGTTTAATTTCCAAAATATACAAAGAATTCATACACCTCAACATCAGGAAGGCATACAATCCAATTAAAAAATGGGCAAAGGACTTAAATAGACACTTTTCCAAAGAGGACATATAGATGGCCAATAGATACACGAAAAAGGCTCAAAATCACTAATCAACAGAGAGTTGCAAATTAAAAGGACAATTAGGTATCATCTCAAACGTGCCAGAATGGCTACCATCAATAAATCAAACAAGAACTGGAGAGGAGGTGTAGAAAAGGGAACCCTAGGACACTGCTGGTGTGTATAGTCACTGAGGAGAATAGAATGGAATTGTGTCAAAAGATTAAAAATGGAACTGCCATTTGACCCAGTGATCACACTTCTGGGACTATATCCTAAGAATCCCAAGTACCAATCAGAAAGAATATATGCACCTGTATGTTTATAGCAGCATCATTTACAATAGCCACGATCTTGAAACAACCCAAGTGCCCAGCAGTAGAAGAGTGGATAAAAAAAGTGATGGTCCATTTGCACCATGGAATACTATGCGGCTGTAACAGAGAAGGATCTCTCATCCTTGATATAGCATGGAGGGACCTGGAGAGTATTATGCTTCGCAAAGTACGGTAAGCCAGTCAGAGAAAGACAAATATCACATGATCTCACTTATAAGTGGAATCTAAAGAACAAAATAAACTGGTGAACAAAATAGGGAAGTATGGAACAGACTAACAGTCTCAGTGTGTGTGTGTGTGTGTGTGTGTGTGTGTGTGTGTAGGGGTGGAGGTTTGGAGGAGAGGACAGGAAGAGATTAACCAAAGAACATACATGGGTAACCTATGGACACAGAATAGCATGGGGAAGGCCTGGGGTGGGGCAGGGGTCGGATGAGGGGGGCAAAAAGGGAGAACATGGGAGATATCTGCAATACTGTCAACGACATTTTAAAAATTCCATTAAAAGAAAAAAAAAAAAATAGAAGCTGCACGAGAGATGGGCGTTTTCTGTTTCTTTTCTACATCTTGTTCACTGCTGCATTCCAGCACCCAGCACAGCGTCTGGCAAACAGCAGCTATGGTTGAACGAACAAGCGGAATCTGTCCGGAATGTCTCTCACATGCACACCCAAGTCACACTCCATTCCCTTCTGTAACCTGCTCCTCTTGGCCTCCCCAGCCTCCTAGCTCCTCCCCTGCCTTCCCCATTGGGCCAGCCACATCCCCAGACACCTGATGACCCAGACTGGAACCCTGTCCATGATTTCCTCTTATTCACCTCCGTATCCGTCTGGGCACTTTAGCTTTGGCAATGTTTCCACATCCGACCTCTGTCCTCCCACCTCCTGGTCACCTGCTCAGCCTATAACCCCTTTAATTCTGCACAGTGGCAACACACTATGCTCCAACCACCCAGTTACCAGACTTTTTCCTTCTCCTCACTGGTTCCCAGACTCCGCTTTCTAACAGGAATTCTGTCATACCGCTGCACAACCTCTCAACATCTCTCCTCCCTGTACAGTATTTCAAACCTGTGTTCCTAGGAACCTCAGGGGTTCCACAAAGGTACCCAGATTAGGTGGCTCTCTGAGAGGCATCAGGAGCCAAAAGACCAGGTGGGTGAAGCTCTAGGACCCCTGCCCCCACTTCAGTGCTCACAGGTGTTAATCATACCTCCTTCAGACACTGGGCCCGCATGGAAACTTCTAATTTCAAGAAAGGATTCTGTTGCACACAAAATAAAAGTCTTTAAAACAACCACCACTTACCTTGCTGCAGGCCAAGGCCCAAGCTCCTTAGCCTGGCGTTGGCAGCCCTCTGCAAGCTGGCCCCTGGCACTCGCTAGCGTCACCACTTCCTCCCTTCTGCTGGCACACCCTGGGACCCAGCTGTGAGCTGCTCTGTGGACAAGCCTGCCCGCACTCACCCCACCCTGCCTTTGCCCTGGCTGTTCCTCCCACCAGGAATGTCCTTTCCCAGCCACCTCACCCCCACGCGCAGCCTCTCTGCTGCCTTCTTCAAGGCCATAGTCACCTTCCTTTGGAAGCCTCCCCTGGCCCTGTGGGCAGACTTAATTGCTCACTGCCCCCCTCGCACACAGCATGGCTGCTGACCTCTATCACAGCGCTGCCCTGTGTAGGGGGACCATTTGCTCATCTGTCTCTGTAGCCATACTGTGAGCTCCGGAGGCCGAGACCACAGCTCGGACTGACTTTACTTCATCCCCACAGGCCCGCGCTCCCACACAGGTGCACCGCGTTACTGCGAGCTTCCTTTGGGCAGTGAAAGCACTGCTTTTGAAAACCCAAAGGAGGTGGCCAGTCTCCCCCACTCGACCCAGGAGTGGCTGCCCTGCCGTGGGGTGTGGGTTCCAGAAGCTGTCTCATGAGGGACTTGTGGCTCGCGAGCCACGGTTTGCTGACCACTGGCTTTGGACCCAGAGCATGATGGGTACTAAGAATCCCAAGTACCAATCAGACTGTTATTCTGTTCCCTACTTCTATACCCCTGGCCCTATTTTGTCCACCAGTCTGTTTGGATTGGTACTACATATGCACACACCTTAACTTTGGAATGCTCTGGGTCCAGAGCATGATGCTTGGAGCCCTCAGACCCAGAGAGGCGAGGCCTGCAGCCTGCTGGCCATGAGGGCCACCTGGGGCAAAGCCTGGGCTCCGTGTGGTGGTCAGTGGGCAGAGGGTCTGAGGTGCAAGTCCCAGCCCGTATCCCGAGACAGGCTGCGTCGTGGAGGGAGCAGGTAGGCTGTGGCCAGGACATTCTGCAGGGCTGGCGGCCCTCAGAGCGAGGGGCGGCAGTCTCCTCTGAGCTATGTGTGACTCAGAGCAAGGCCCTAACCAGTGCCTGGGAAATGGAGCCAGAGTCGGGCTGGGCGGTGTGAGGCCAGATAAAGCCCATACAAAGGGGGGTCAGCACTGGGCTACGGAGGGCCCCGGGGTGCAGGGCCGCCAGGAGGTGCCCTGCAGAAGCTGAGTGGGCTTGCTTGGTGCTCACAGTCTCAGTGCCCATCAGACGGGAGGTCAGTTGGGCAGAGGCCCCCTCTGCTGGGTCTCGGGACTCTCTCCCTCCACCTCTAGGGCATGGCTCTCCTGCTGCACCTGAGCACCCAGGGCGGTGCGGCCTCCTCCTACCTGGGCGGTGTCCATCTCGTTCAGCATCACCACAGAGGAGCAGTTGTAGTCGAACACCAGCCTCCAGAAGTCCGCCACGGTGTTGGGCAGAGGGTGCTGCGTGACCACGAAGGCGGCCGGCTGCTTGTGGCTCTGCAAAGGAACCGCACAGGCTTCACACGTTACGCCCATCAGCGACGCGCTCACGCTGATGAGGCCCAGGTGGCACCAGGGGCCCCGAGCCTGCAGATAGGTGACACGGAGCACCTGGCCACTCTGCGATCTCCGGGGGCCCCAGCATCAGAGGGGACCGCCTCATAGTGAACGCATTCTCCAAAATAAGACATTTCATGCCGAAACTGGTTTGGCTCAGTGGATAGAGCGTCAACTTGCTGACTGAAAGGTCACATGTACCTTTGGTTGTGGGCACATCCCCAGTAGGGGGCGTGCAAGAGGCAGCTGATCTATGATTCTCATTGATGTTTCTAACTCTCTATCCCTCTCTCTTCCTCTCTGTAAAAAAATCAATAAAATATATATTTTTAAAAAAGACATTTCATTAGGAAAGTGTCCTTCGAGTGGGGATTCCAAATAAATTATTTGAGTCTTGGAGCTCAGCAAATAACCATCATTATACTCTGAAATGAAAGCTTCTGGATGCAGATTTGCTGCTCTGCCTGCCACGGCTCCTCTGGGGACCAGTGGGGTATCCGTGTCCTTGTCCACAGTGCTGGAGGGGGAGTCGGCTCAGCTCGTGGCAGAGAGCATCCTGTGTTCAGGGGAGTCAGGAGCCAGCAGGAAGGTGGGGAGCGGAGAGGAGCTGGCCTATCCCACCCAGGTGAAGACCTACCAAGGAAATCACCCAAAGCACCTGTCTATCCTGTGCTCTCTCAGCGTGCTTGCGGCACAGAGAAGCAGCGGCATGTAATTGTGGATGCCACTTTTGCACTCAGGGTAAGGTGACCAGAATCCCAATTTTTAACAAATTGTCTCACGTCCTGAGGCATTTTAAATGCCTCGGGACGTGGGACAAATTGTTAAAAATCGGGACTGTCCCGCCAAAAGCAGGACATCTGGTCACCTTAACTAAGGGTCCTGTCGCCTGAGGGTCTTTTTCTGGTCAATCATATGGCCAGAGGAAGGTATGGGAGGGCAACATAGTTCTCCCCAAATCTGAACTCCAGCTGCAGACAGCATGTCTCTGGGCCACTGGCAGCATGGAAGAGAATCCAGGCTTTCCGAGTAAAACACTTGGCTCATACTCTGACTCCATTGTTTCTCCGCTAGCTGACCTGCACAGAATCATGGAAAATACCCTGACACTCTGGGCTCATCTAGAAGATGGGGATAATGATAGGCAAACGAGGAGCAAGGCAGTGTAAGCCCAGGGCCCGAGACATGCCCAACCCTCGGCGAACCTTCGTTTTCCTCCCTATCCCCGTCTCTGTGATAAATGCTCTATTAGGCCAACGCGCCTGACAAAGCCTTATCTGAAAATATGTTCGAGATCCGAGCTCCTGCCGGGTTCTAGGGATCGGCCAGCAATCCATTTCATGGATAACATCACCCTTTACCAGGGAAACATTAAAAATTAGCCCAGAGGACTTCATATTTTTCTGCTGGGAGCGAAGCTGCTATGGTTACCAGATAATGCACAGACTGAGCCGGAATTCAGATAAGGATTGTTCTTTTGCTTTTTTTGTAAGAAAGGCAAAGATGGCTCACAGGAGAACTGCCCTGCGGACAAAGAGAATGCGATCAGCCTCAGAGCATGCGGGGCAGAAGGCACATGACTTCGGCAGCGGCTAACCCATTAAGTGGAGGCCAGGAGCACGTTTGATCCTTGTTTCCATGAGGGAGGCAGGGAGCTGCAGTCGTGACAAATGGGAGACAAATCTAGGAGAAACTTAAACGTGGAAGTGCACGCCCAGCCCCACGTTTTACCACACACACACACACACACACACACACACACACACACATACGCACACACACATACACATACACATACACACACACAAGTACATATGCACACACATACACATACACGTACATACGCACACACCTTGACTTTGGAATGCTCTAAGCCAGTGGTCGGCAAACATGCGACTCTTTGGCCCCTTGAGGGTGGCTCTTTCACAAAATACCATGGCCTGGGCGAGTCTATTTTGAAGAAGTGGCGTTAGAAGAAGTTTAAGTTTAAAAAAATTGGCTCTCCAAAGAAATTTCAATTGTGCTGTTGGTATTTGGCTCTGTTGACTAGTTTGCCAGCCACTGCTCTGAATGAAAGCCACAGGCCTTCCCTCCACATCCGGCTGTTTGCTCCGACCAGACTCTCCCTGCTTCCGGACCCAGGCTCTTCATGGGGGACTGGGGCTCTCTCTGGGCAGAGGCCAGGCCAGTCCCTACAGAGCGGCGATAGGCATGGATGTCTCATCCTAAGAGCCTTGGAGAGGAAGCTTCAGGAGGCTCAGAGGTCAGCAAAGTCACTGGTCTTGGCCCAGGAGACAGTACCTCCTGTTCCTGCCTGTTCTGGGTGAGATCGGAGGTTCACCTGGGCTGGATGAACATGACCTCAGACACGGGGGGAAGGGCGCCTGGAAGGGTGCGCCCTCCAATCGGGCATCGGTGATCTCAGTTCTGAGCGTTGGGAGGCAAGCTGTCTGAGTCCTATTGGACTGAATAAAATGGTGGAGAGGCTCAATGAATGGACCCCAGAGTGGGAGCCAGGAGTCCTGGGCTCTGGCTTTGCCCCGGCTCTCTGGGTGACCTTCAGCAAGTTTCTTTCCCTTCATGGCCACAACTGCCTTTGCTGAGAAGTGCGAGGATGAGACGGAAAGATTCTGGCTCCTTCCTGTTGCAAACATCTACCTCCCAGAGTGTAGGGACCTTAACTGCAAGTAGCTGGAGGGCCCTGGGGAGAACCAGGGGTGCGAACCCCTCAGAGACAGGGGCATCACCCCTAATCCCAAACCAGGTGAGGGTGGGGCACCTTTCCTGGGCACCCAACGCCGAGAAAGCAGGATATGGGGACCCTAACAGACTAGTCATGCCCCCTCCACGCTCCCTGTGCTGCCTCCCACCGCACTGACTGTGCACCTATAGGTGCCATCCTCATTTTCGCCTCTGCACAGGAGCTGTCCGGGAGGCAGCCTGCCTGGGCGCTCCTGGAGGGCAGAGCCTAGGTCTTCACCCCCGTGTGTGCCCAGGGCTCACAAGGCCCGGCTGGCATGCCGGATGTTTCCCGAACTGAACTCACGGCAGAGAGCCAGCTTGTCGGCAGCAGGAGGGGGACTAGGTAGGCTGCGGCCACCTTAAGCTTTTGGTCTGTTCTTTCTAGACTCTTTACGGGAGCAGAAGAGCCAAGAGCACTGCTTATCTGTAGGTTTGGACAAGAGTCTTCGGGGGAGCAGAGGTCCAGCAAGACGAAAAGCAAAGAGAGAATTTCCCAGGGAGGGTGGCCAGGGCCCTGGGGGAGGCTTTCCCCTGGAAGGCCAGCAGAGGGCGCCCCGGAGGCCCCGCTTACATCCATCAGCGCCGCGTTGATGTAGTTGCTGGACTCGCCGTCCACGGAGATGAGGAAGGGCAGGCAGCGGTCCAGGGGCAGCACGTCCATGCCCCGGTTCTTGTCGTGGTTCCGGGGCAGGAGCCCGATGCTGCAGTCCTCGGGCCGCACGTGCGGCGTCACGATGTTGAGGGTCTGTGGGCGCAGAGGCGGACAGACAGACAGACACGGCTCAGATACCCGCCTGAAACCAGGCAGCCAAGTGCACAGCCAGCCTCCCCCCATCCCCGTCCTCCTGGTGGGGCCCTCGGGGCCTTTTCTAGGACAGTTCCTCTTCCGTGGCGATTCTACCATCTGCTGGACTCTCGCGCCTGGAGTAAGGTGACCAGACATCCCGATTTTTAACAATTTGTCCCGCGTCCCGCAGCGTTTTAAAAAAAGTCCTGATTTTTGGAAAGAAGGCACGACAAGCTAGGGAATGGCGGGAGAACGGGAAGGGAATATACAGTTTTCAGCGGCCATGTGGCTATCTAGCCAGGATATGAGTTTTATATTATTTTTGTTAATTTTATAATGTTAAGCTTTAATAATAACAAATAATTGTTGAGAACTGATTATCGAGAACTGCTTATCAAAGTTCGCGTTGTTGATCAGTTGTTAGAATTCACTCAAATGAGAAATATGCCAAAGAATAAAATAATACTATACATAATTTTTTATTTGTTAAATTTGTAAATTGTACTTGTGTTGAAATTTAAAAAATATATTACAATACTATTTTTGGGTTCTATGAAAATTTTTGTTGCTCCATATAGACCAAATTTTTAATCAAGAACACCCCCCCCCCCCCGCAACTCCCCGACAATGGTGTCCCACTTTACTGACGTTAAAATCTGGTCACCTTAGCCTAGAGCCCCTTCCGGGGCTGTGCCACCACCACGCTCCCAGCTCCTACCAACCACTGAGCTAAGCTGCTCATCTCTGCCAAGGGTGGGCCGGCCAGGAGGCTGTAAGGTGGGGGTGGAGATAGGGAACCCCTCATGCATGTTAAATATCCCTAAAGTGCCATCATCGAATGAGGGGGACGGTTTTACCAGCGTGCCCCTCAGAGAGAAGGCGGAGAGATGCTGGATGAGCTGCTGACAGGGTGGGGGTGTGTGTGTGGGGGGATAGGGGGTGTGGGGGGGAGTAGGGGGTGGGTGAGAGACCCCGGGACACGCTCCAGCACCGTCTGGAGACTTGCAGGGCTTGTGCTCTGCAGAGGAAGTCTTGCAGGCGCGGGGACAGCCTGCTCATACCTGGAACTCGTCCTTGATCTGGCTGGAGTTGGTCTGCGGGTCCAGCCTGCTGATGTTGTAGTAGAGCGAGCGGAACTCGCACACGGGGATGGCGGTGTTGCCGCAGAGGCAGGCCTCCAGGATGGCGTCGTGCACGAACACATACTGCTCCTGGGGGGAACAGGGCCGGGTCAGAGCGGCCGCGGGGGCGTTGGGGTCCACGCTGAACCCGGGGCTGGGAGGAGGGGCAGGACGGACATCGCAGGACCGCTCCTTCCCACCCTAGCATCCAAGTGGCCCAGCTCCCGTGTTTCCCGGTGGCTGCCTGCGCTAGGTGACGCGGGTCCCCTGGGTAACACAGAGCAGCACAGTCCCCGGCGAAAGCAGAAACGAGGGCGTGCTGCAGCAGGTGCTCTCCGTGTCCTGCCCGTGTCCCTTCTGCTGTCACCCGGGCCTGCTGAAGGCTGCGGGCGGCAAGTGCCCGGCATCCAGGCCGAGGGCTCTGCCTAGTCCCAGGGGCCCCCTGAACTGTGTGCGGGGCAAGCCAGAGGGCGGAGAGTGAATGCCTCAGGAAGGAGCCTCCGGCGATGCCAGGTGGAGAGCTGGGGACGAAGACCTAGGTCCCCTCTCTCCTGGGAGGGTCCCTTCAAAAAACGTGCTCCGCACTCTCTCAGGGTCCCCAGGCTGGTTCCAGGGGTACACTGTGCCAGGAAACTTGTGCTCCTCTCCGCCTCCCCACCCTTCCTTCCCCCCGCCTCCCTCCTGCCCCCCCCCCCCGCCTTGCCTTCCCCCACTCCCCCCCTCTCAGTGTGCCTTTTGATCCTCCCAAATCACCCACTTGCCCTCAACAACTTGTCTCAGGGGCTGCTCCTGCAGCCGCAACACCCCTGTGCCATCCCCAGCTGTCTGCACCCAGCGGTTCTCTTCTCCCGGGCTCCACCTCCTCTTCTCTGCCTCAGTGCCTCGCTTCCTCTGGAAAGTCTTCTCTAAATTCACCGGGAGGAAGCTGGCGCTGTAGCTTCCTTAACCAAGGTGTGCTGAGCGACTGACTGTTTTCTGCAGAACCTGGCCCAGCTCTTTATATAAAATGCTTATCCAGCTGCATGAAGATGATGCATTTGAATGTGCGTCTTCCCTACCAGACAGCCAGGACCACAATGTGTCCAATGAGGGCCAGCAAGCAAGCATGCCTTCCACACGCCTGCACCTGGGCCGGAGGAGGCCTCTCGGCCGAGCAGCCTCACCCGGAAGCCCGGGACTGCCCGTGGGAGCGGGCTCAGAGCCCACAACAGGACCCAACGTGGACAAGCCCGTCAGGGGGCCCTTCCTGCAGAGCCAGCAGCACCTGGCCAAGCCCAGAGCCGCGGGCAGCTGCCTGGGCAGGGCTGACGACAGAAGCAGCTCTGTGTCCCATGCGGCCTGTCCTGGCTCCCACAGCCATCGCTGGGACAGGAGAGGAATAAGAGAACAACAAACCAAGGCCCCAGGAGCAGGGAAGGCAGAAGAGGCTGCCTGGTGAGGAAGGGTGACTCAGTAGGAAAAGCATGCTCGGCGGTCGTCCCAACCCGAGTCCCACCATGATCTGGCTGTGGGAGGCTTTGGGGGCACAGTTGCTCAGTGTTTCCATCTGTGAAGTGGGGGTGCAGATAGCATTTACCCCGTAGTGTTGTGAGGAGCAGGAACAGTTTTTCTGAATGCAAAGAACCTAGCATGGTGCTTGGCACATAGTAGGTGCTCCACTATAACGACGAGCCCCTCCCAGGCCCCTGGGTCTTGGGCTCCATCCCTGGACAGAGGGGTCCCTGAAGGCCTACTTCCCCTCAAAGGCAGGGACTGTGTGTTCTCGGCAAGCTCACTGATGAAGCCATTCCAGCAGTGACCGGAGCAATGCCGGGCACAGAGTAGGCATTCAACATGTGCCATCCTTCCCCGTCTCTTCTCTCTCTCACTCAAGGTGGCGATACTGTTCCTTCAGTCCCTGCGCAGATGGGCCCAGAGATGGGAACTCACAGCCATTCCTCATTGCTGGAAATCTCTGAGCTGTGGGACCCTGGGTCTCACCACAGCCAGGCCACCTGCTCGCTCACTGCCGTTTCTCTCACACCCAGGCCTCTTTCTCCAGGACGCCCCCCCCCCAACTCCCCCCCCTGACTTCTCCGTGGCCAGGACTTCGGGTGGCCTGTGGGCTCGGGCCCCGGGACCCACCTCCGTCTGCACGAGGTTGACCCTCTGGGCCCGGAGCTCCCGCACGCAGTTGAAGATGTCCACCACGCCCTCGTTCTCGGCCATGTCAAGCATGGTGTCGATGGCGATGAAGCAGCCGGTCCTCCCGGCTCCAGCGCTGGAAGGAAGCACAGGTTTGTCAGGGACCGGGGAGCGGGACCAGCCCTGGGCGGCTCTCACACTCAGCCCTGCCAGCAGGGACCCTGCAGAGGTGTGCATTGCGGGGGTCAGAACTGGGAGACTCCGATCACACAGAAAGCCCAGTTCCCTCTCTTATAACATGGGAGCTATCTTACCAAGATTAACTTCCTTTTGTTGTATGCATTTAGCAAACATTCACGTGGCATCATTCTAAGTACCGGGCATTATTCTAAGTATGTCACCAATGTTACTCATTCATTCTCTCATGAGGTTGTTAGGAAGTTTCTCGCCCCATTTCACAGGTGAGAAAACTGAGGCATTGTGCTGGTGGTGCAGCTGAGACTTAACCCAGGTGTCTGGCTCCAGAGTCTGTGTTCTTCCACTTCCTTCTTAATAACAGTCATTGCACATACGCATGCTTACACACACAGACGTAACCTTACACACACATATGCATGCTTACACTCACGTATGCATACAGTTTCCTCACCTGATGGCTAAAGATAACCCACCTGAAAGGTACCCAGCACACTGGGGATGCCTAATAGACATGTGCTCCCACTTCCCTCCCTCCTCATCATCTTTCAGGTATCTTCTTCAATAAGTGGGCTGAGAGGTGGAAGGAGAGGAGAGAACCGGAGAGCAGGTAAGTGAGAGCTGAAATCAGCTCTTCTGCACTGCCCCAAGGGCAGAGAGTGAGTCCCAACTCCAGGTTTGGCTCTCCCTGCACCTGCTCTCCTTGCACCTGCTCTCCCTGCACCTGCTCTCCCTGCAGCGCCTCCATGAACTCAAAGAGCTGACGGCCCTGAGAGCCTGCCCTGGTATCGGGTCTCCTGGGCAACACTTGATTCTGATGGCTGGTGGCTTCCTTAGGAGAGTCTCAGACCAAGCACCAAATGGCCACACACACACACACACACACACACACACACACACACACACACTCAGAAAAAAAGTCAAGGAAACCCCATGGCCACGGCTGCCCTCCCCAGATCGGTGCTGGGTTCCAAAGTCATGGTGGTAAGCGGAGGCCACAGGACCATCTGTCTCAGAGGCACCCAGTTGGGCTGCGTTTTCGTCTGGCTTCCCTCTGTGACTCACAACGTGGACATGAAAGGATCACAGAGAGGAAGAAGGACGGACTGTAAGGAGTGCGATGCTGGCTGCATGTGAGTCCAGGCAGGACGGGGGGGCGGGACCGCCACCGACAGCGGTGGCAGAGCAGAGCCCTGGAAACCCGTCCTCAATGGGGAAAGTGACGTGGGAGGCAGAGTCTCCACTCGGGGTACAGCGCCATGGTGTGAAGGAAGTCTGATTTGTATTTTCCCTGGAGCACACTTCATCCCCCAGCTGATCCAGACCCCTGCGATGGGACGAGGGGGGCTGGCCTTCGGGGTCTAAGAGCCCCTCCCCCCGCCAACCACATCTTTTCTGAAGTCTCACCCTGGACCTGTTTTAGGGGAAAGAGCTAATCTGACTCGATTTTGGACCTTGGATCCCTAACTAGTGAGCAAGCTGTCTAGTGTTCCTGAGCTCAGTGTTCTTCCGCGCACAACACACCTCTACGTGGGCTCTTCATGGGAACCGAGCCGTGTGGATTTCAGCATTGTGCAGCAATGAAGCTCGTGCCATTGGGAGGTCAGAACCCTGGGGATCCAATTGTTCCTCCGCCACTTCCCAGCTGCGTGACCTTGGGCAGGTGATTCAACGGCTCTGAGTGTCAATACCCTCCTCTTTAAAATGAGGCCGAAAATAATACAGACCCTCCACCTAGCATTGACGGCACAATATATGTAAATTGCAGGAAATTATGTTGAAAAAGCATAACACATGTATATTGCTTTGCCCTGTGCCTGGCTACGCAGCAATTTCTCAGTAAACGGCTGCTCCTTGTGTTCACGGCTATTTATCGAGCACCAATTAGGCAGGCGTCAGAGGCTGGGCTTGGGAGTGGGGAATGAGGATGAGTAAGACGTGGCTCCTGTCCTGCGGGACCAGCAGGCAGGAGTGGGGGCAGCAGTAAGAGGCAGAGAGTGTCCCGAATCCTCTCCGGCACCTCGTACATGTTGGCCACCTATTCAACCTTCAGAAGCACCTCAGAAGCGGGGCCACTCTGCGAGCGGCGTTGAGGAGACTGGCTGTGGAGACAAGACCCGGGGTGAGGAGCACCCCGTAACTGGTCTCCCGTGTCCTCTCTGGCGGCGCCTTGGGGCCCAGGACTTGAGGGCTAACACTATGCTGTCTGTGGACTGAAGAGAGACGGTGAGTGGAGACTCTGTGGAAAGCCGTCAGAGAGCCCAGGGTGTGTGATGCATAGGGCCTCCCAATCCTCAATGTCCTCATCTGTGAAATGGGATCTCTAGTTCTCATCTCTGTGTGGTGGGGAGGGGGATGGTGCTGAGCGAGGAAGGGTGGCTCTGAGACACCCCTAGCGCGTGGATCTCTCCTTGACTCCACCCCAGTCCCTGACTGACATGGCTGTGCCCGGCCAGGGCTGAGACAGCCCGCCTGCAGGGCCTGAAGGACAGGCTGGCCCTAGGTCACCCTGGAGAGGAGCACCCTGGGAGAGAGGTGGGGAGAGCACAGGCCAGCCAGTCCCCGGGCCTGGACGTCCTCTCTACTCCGATTTTCCAAGTCCTTGACCTGGCACTCCATCTCCATTTAGGAGGATTCAAAGATGTGCGAGTCCTTCCCAGCGTGACTGCCCAGGTCAGAGCTGAAAACAGCTCTTCTCTACAACACGGTGAGACCTGATGCTGTCCATTTCCTCTCTATTAGGGACCCTGCAGGCTGGAAATTGATTTTTAAGATAATAGAAATGAAAAGAAGCCGCTTCCTCGGAGACACCTCGCTCCCGTTTCACAGAGCTGCGAGCCAGTGTCTGAAGGAAAGCAGGCTGGATGTCCCTGCTCGGTACCCCTGGGTGACCCAGGCTGAGCATCTACCTGCTCGGTGCTTCAATGTTCTTATCTGTAAAACGGGGATAATGGTGCCCACTGGTCAGCATCGGGTGAGAAGTAAATTAAATAATGTGGGTGAAGGGCACACAGAGAAGATGCTGTCAGGGCCAAGCCCCTGTCCTACTACTTCAGAACAATAGAGAGAACAATGCGTGCTCCTGCCACTCCCATTGTCCCTGTGAGACCGCGGGACATGGGCCTTTTCGGAAAGCACCGGATACAGCAGACAGACACAGGGGCCACGGACAAGGTGGTGTCTCCCTCCCCGAGAGCCAGATCTTTCGAGAGCGGGGAGCTGGGGGACCTCACTCACCTGCAGTGAACCACGATGGGCCCGGCCTCGGGCGGGTTGAGAAACTTGACTTGGCGGACGAAGCCCAGGAGGCCGGTGGCGTAGCAGGGGACGCCGTGGTCGGGCCAGCTGGTGAAGTGGAAGAGGCGGAGCTCCCGGATCTCGTGGTAGCCTTTCTGAGGAGAGAACGGGCCACTGTTCCCGCAGCTGCCACCCCCACATACCCTCACCAGCTCCATGGGGAGCCACGGCTGCGGCCCTGAGGAACCCGTCTCCCGCTGTTGGGGAGGCAAGGCCCTCAAGGGGTTAAGAAGTGCTGCTGCTGCAGAGAGGGATTGTGCGGTCTGCCACACCTGGGACCTCGGGAAGCAGATAAAGTGGCTGACTGCACCACTGCAGGACTTGTCAGAGCCTTTAGTGTGCCGATATACAGCTGGATCCCCAAGTGGGGGGGGGAGGTGTGTGTGGCATGGTGACACTCCAGAGTTGCCCAAGGGCCTTCTTTTGACAAGTGCTGCATGGATCCAGCAGAACAGATTCAGAGGAACGAAGGCCTTAAACACCAAGTTCAAATCATTTCAGTGGAATACGAGGCCTTCCAGTGATCAGGTTTGGGGTCCTCCAGTCTCCAGTCCTGCCCATGACAATTTCCGGGGCTTTAAAACAAATCAGCAGATTTCGTCATCAATTAGATTATTAGTTGGCATGATAATACATGGAACAAATAAATGTGGAGCTTCTCTGACCGATGGGGGTGTGTGCGTGTGAGGGTGCGGGGGGGTGGGGAGGGGTTTGAGCTCCGCTTGGTTTTCCTTCCCCTCTCACCACCCCTCACACAGACACCCCCAGTCTGAGAGACGTTCCATGACCATTTTATGGTCAGGCCGTACCTCTGAGCCTTTGCTTACGCAGTGTCCCTACCTACTGTGTCCGCTCAGCAGTCTCCTGCACATATCTGGACAGCACTGAATAGGAAGCATGCTCAATCGTTCACTCTTCCAGTTAAAGAATAGTCTCTGAGGGTTGTCTATGCCCAGCCGCTAGAAAGGTGGAAATAAAAGCCTCTGTCCCTGGAACAGCTCATGATCTAGTAGGAGAAGTAGACTCCCAAGTGGATGATTCTATTAAAGTACACGAAGGAGTGCCAGCTAACCCCTTTTGGGGAGAGGAGAAATCAGAGAAGGCTTCCTGGAGGAGGTGATGCATGACCTGCTTCTTAAAACACACTGATACTGAAAATAATGGCTCACATTTATTAATCATAGACTAGGTGCCTGCCACTCTCTGAACACTTCCATGTATTAGTTCAATGAATTGTCATACCAATCCTCATATTGTTATCTCCTTATGGATGAAGAAATTGAGGCTGAACAAGGTTAAGGAACAGGCCTGAGGTCACACAACCAGTAAGCTGTGGAGCTGCAATCTGAAGCCTGGCTATGAGCTCCACAATCTGAACTCCCAAGCTTTATGACACGCCGATGCCTGCGTGTGACCAGGCTGAAGAGACAGAGGGATTCCCGGGCAGAGAGGCGGTGTGAGGCAAAGCACGGGGACAGGACTTCACAGGATACGTGCACAGAATCATAAACAGCCCGGAGTGGCTCCAGAGGGAAGTGGAAGACAGGTGAGGGCATACAGCAGGGCTGCGTGTGGGTGGGAGGTGGGGCGGGTGCTGGGCCTTGCCAGGCCTGGAATTCCATCGCAGGCCTTTGGGCTTTGTCCCAGAGGTGCAGGGGAGCAGAGGGAGGTTGCCCAGACAGTGGCACAGAAGCAGCACCGGACTTGCATGTTGGGAGGATTACGCCAGCTACCCGGTGGAGGCCGGATTTGGCGGGGTGTGTTGGAGGGCTGTGTGAAGGGCACTGTAGATGCCCGCCCAGATCCCCTTTCCTGGGCCAGGGCACCCCTCGCGTACTCTGAGTATGGGCTGTAGAGGGCTCAGAGGAACCAGCTTATTCAGAGAATTGCTCTCAACCCAGAAGGAGCCACCTCCCCTGGCTGGGGGCTGAAGCTTAGCATGACCGATTGACTTTGCCCATCTGCCTGGGACTGAGGGGTTTCCCAAGAAATGGCACTTCCAGTGCTGAATTCAGGAGGGTCCTGGGCAAACCAGGGTGATGGGTTATCTCAATGGGGTACCAAGGCCTCTTGCCAAAGGATACCAGGTACCCTCACCAATGCCTCACAAGGCCCGCAATGAGGCTGGGCTCGAACTGAGACTAACACCCTTGCTGACTCCTTCCCTGCACGCCCTCTCCTGTCTCTCTCCCTCCCTCGCCGTCTCAGCACATTGTCAAGGGAACCCCAATCTCATTCTCAGGCTTGAAACTCAAACTGCAACACAGCAAGGCCAGAGGCAGGGAGCCCTGCTCAGGGGCTGCTGCAGAGCCTGGCAGGGGTGAACAGAGGCCTGGGTGAAGGCACCTCCGGAAGAGCTGAAGCAGGAGAAGAGAAAGCAGCTTCAGGAATACCTGGAGTTTTCCACTCCCTCCTCCGAGGCAAGGGGCCAACGCTATGGCATGGCTTATGCTCCAGAGGCGCCTGTAAACCAGGCTAGACTTCCCCTCCTCTCTTCTGCTTCCCTTCCTCTCTTTCAAGTTTCTCTCCAGAGTGGTCCCTGGATAGACCATGTGCATCCAAATCCTTGTCTCAGGCTGTGCTTCTAAGGAACCCGGTTTAGACCACATCCATGTACCTGTGGTCCTCCTTCCAGTGGGGGTGCTGCAGGGAGCAACCTGCCTGTCCAGTACTCAACTGTGCACACAGGACTGGCACTGGGCAAGGGCCAGCTCTGGTGCTCAGGAGGACTTGTCCACCCCTGACAACATGGCTCTCAGGGCACTGAAGTCCCCAGTGCTTCTGCATCGCTAGGCCTGTGGCCGCTGGACCCTTAATGCTGCTGCTTTCAGAAAGTGGCACTGGCGAGGTGTGGAGTAACAATGAACTTCAAGTAACAATGAGCTCATGTGTGAACCCCACTTTGCACAACTGACTTAAACACTTCGCCTAATTTTTTCATCTACAAAATGGGAGTGATCATCAGACCTACCTCAAGGGGTTGTTGGGGGATTAGATGAGCTAGTGGCTCCTCCTCCAGGCAGCCCTCTCTGACCACCTCATCCTCCCGTCTCCACTCATGGCGTGTTTCTTATCACCACGCACTGTTATTACTTTTATCAGTCTGTGGAATGCTGTCCACCCCTCTCCCTGGGGATGGGATCCTTTGAAGCAAAAGGCACATCGAACTCCATCATGGATCTGTCCCTGGGACCAAGCGCGTGATGGGTGCAGAGTGGATCTCGGCCATGGTGTGTCTGAGCGAATAGACTAGCTGGCTTACCTAGTGGACAGGCCACCCTTGGCCGCAGGGACGCTTACCTTCTGGACCGTGAAGGTGCGTATGACGTATTCGGCCAGGGGCTCTGTTTCAATCAGGGTGACTTTGATGTCGCCGTAGACCTCCGTGTCATCCGGCCAGTACCGCACACACTTCACCTGTGAGGAAGGACAGAGACGAGGACAGGTGAGCCGGTGGCTGCGTGGGAGCAGCCGCCTCACCTGGCTTTCCCATTCAAACAAACCCAAGGGCGACTCTGGTGACATTTCAGGCAGAAGGGTGGGCTGGCCAGGGTTGGCAGCGTGCACGGGGCCAAGCTCACACCCAGAGGAGAGGGAGCCGTCAGGAATAAAGGTGGTACCTTCTTTTGCAGAGCTCCGTATAATTTTCAAATCCTCTATCAAAAAGAGCTGGGCAAGTTAGGCTGACGGAGCTATCCCCGTGTTACAGATGACATTAACACTCAAGTTTGGAGGTGTTGGTGGCTTGTCCTGTTTTCTACCTTTGGCTGAATGGTCTGTCAGGCTGGGGCAGCTGATAGCAGCAGAGCAGAGATGAGAGGAAAAGGAGGGAAGCAGCGAAGAGGGAAAGCAGAAGTGGTGGGAGAGGAACGTTACTCGTCCGAGCGGGTAACCAGGGCCATGAGGACAAGGAAGATTGGAAGGTGCTGGGCTCAAGGGGAAGATGCTGCCCTGCTCTCCGCTACCAACAAGCCATTCCCACGCGTGACCGAGTCACACTCCACAGGAGGAACAAGAGCTCACGGTTTTCCCCTTAAAAGAACAAAAGCATTACCATTCCGGGGGACGCCGCACGGCCTAGCGTGGCATTTCCCACAGTGTGTTCCGCTGGGTGCTAACAGGTGTTCGGTAAGAAACAAGAAAACAAACAGAAAAGGTTTTGTGGTCAAATGAGTTTGGGAAATGCTGGGTTCAACAAAGTCAAACAGGCTGTTTTGCTATAGGACTACTCGGCTGGCTTAAGGTACTAATGCTAACGTTTCTTTTCTCCTTATTTTTGATCTGCAAAACGGGGCAAAGAATACAGAGCATTTCCCAAACGTATTTAACCATGGAACCCTCTTCTCACTAAGCATCCTGTAGACTAGCATCCCACGGAACCCACTTAGGGAAACGCTGGTAGGGCGCAACAGGCTTTGGAGGCAAATGGGTGCGTTGCACAATGCTAACACTCAGCAGCTGTGCAGCTACCAGAAAGGGCTGAGACCTCTCTGAGCCTCAGTGTCTGTTAATGATGATAGCAATCCTTGCTGAGTGCTGACGATGTCTAACGCTGTCCTCTACCTGTATTATTGTAATTGCTTATCACTACAACCATGTACATATTCTTATCCCCATATTACAGATGAGGAATGGGAAGCACAGGGAGGCTAAGAAAATTGCCCCAGGCCAACAGTTAGGAAGGGATGGAGCCAGGATGCAAAACCACGGCCTCCAAATCATCGAATCATCGGCAGAGAAGATCCGGTACCGCGCTTGGCTCCTGGCAGGAGTTCCATCAGAGATGGCTCCACCGTCCCCTTCCCAAATCCAAATTAGTGTCAAGATACACCCCTTCTGGGAACCTGTCTTCGATGTGGGACGTGTTACAGGACAGGCTGGAATCTGCCTCTGAGTTCTTTGTGCTGGGATGACATCTGTCCGCAGTAGGCACAGCCTGGGCCTCTGTCCCTGGGAAGCAGTCCTGGGGGTCCCACCATGAGCACTACAGTGAGAGTCGAGCTGTAGACTCTGCCCTGGGCCTGGCAGAGTGACATCAGGGCAGTTACTCCATCCCTTTCCTCATCTGTAAACTGGGGAATGGACTAGACAAGAGTGGGCTCAAGGACCTGTCTCTCCTGGCTCTGAAGTCCTGGTAGGACATGAGATGCCCACAGCCCTCTCCTGGGTTATGACTCACAGCCCAGACATCCCTCCCCTGCTATCTCGGAGGCCAGGACCCTATTGCAATGAAAACTTACCTGCCCCCTCTTTAGTCAGCCCGTAAGTAGGGGGGCCCTCTGAACTCTAGTGTGTGTGCACCCTGCCTGAGAACCCGCAGCCCGCCCGCCCACACACCACAGTTTACCAAGGAGGCAGCAGCCAGTAGGACACAGCATCCTGTTCCTAAGCCCTAGGAGTCTCTGAGGGCCACACCGGGGAGGGTGAGACAGAGAGAGAGCGAGAAACCAAGGCCTGAGCCCCAAAGAAGGTGGAGGTTGAAAGGTCAGGAAGCAAAAGGTCAAATGCTGCTGAGAGGCTGAGCACAATGAGAAGAGAGAAGTGGCTGCTGGAGCTGTCCCCATGAAGGATGTCGATGTCGGTGGGATGGAGAAGGAGCTACGCTGGAGTGGGCAGAAGAGAGCCGAGTGCCAGTTAAGAGTTTGGCAGAAAGGGAGGAAGAAGAACATCATTTCTGTTTGCCAGTGGCACAGTTTTAAGGGCGAAGGCACTCAGGAGGTTTGCATGCAAACGTCTAGCAATGAAAAAGAGAGTTACGTGTCAAGGGAGGGGGCCAGGAGAAAGTTCTTGAGCAGAATCTGTGACTCAATGCCCTGTGGCTGCCTTGGAAGGCAAGAGTCACTTCATCCTTCGCATTAGGCTGAGCCAAAGAACAGGCTGACATTCTACCATTTGGGGCCAAAAAAAAACTGTCATTGTTCTGGTTCAACCTGACCATAGAGGGGAAGAATGAGATGGTTGTAGACACAAGTAGATACGAGCTTTGTGATGGGAAGATGGCAGCGTTCACGTCTGATGCCTTAACGTGCCTCAAACTCTGTGAGATGACGTTATCCTCTCATAGAGAGCGAGGGTGGAGAGAGGAATGAGGGGTCTGAAGGAGAAGGACATTCTTAGGGTGTGAAACAGAAGTGAGAATTTCTCCTTCTAGGATGCTGGGAGATGGGATTTGGCACGGGAGGCACTTGGCACACCGCACGAGCAGACACGTGCTCAGGTGTGCGATGCCAGCATCCTCTCACCAGGTCCCTGCAGGCGGGGCTTACCCTGCCCACTTCCACGAGGTTCGTGACCATGACGATGCTGGCCGAGTTCTCCTGCCAGATCATTCTCCAGAAGTCTTTCACAGTCTCCTGCATCGGACCTGCCAACAGAAAAGGGGATGGCAGGGTCAAAGATCACAAGTGTCAGGGAGCAGCCAGGAGGATGACTCTTCCAGCTGCTCAGCCCTGACCCCACATGGGTGAGTGACAGCGAGGCCAGAGAATCCTTGCTGGGGCACCCAGGTAGCTGGGACTGGGGCCTGAGATGGGGAGGTCAGAACATGGATAAGAAAACCACATTCCAAGCAGGCAAGGTCTATGGCTCCCCCTGGGAGTACTACCAGTTTCTCTCCTCCTCTTGCACTCATTCTCCTGCTCAGCCCCTTTCCACCAGCCCCTGACCCTGACCCATCACCTTGTTTACCTGGACTATACTACGGGTTAATAATAGAGCTCAGTGGGGTTTTCCTAAAAATTGGGCTCCAGACCTCAAAGAAACAGACGGACAATGGGGGAGAGGGGTGATGCTGGGAGCCAGATGCTGAAAGCACAAAGAGAAGAAGCTGTCTGTAGTATTGGTCTGAAGCTCAGACAGAAGGGGGAAGTAGACAAGGAGTAGGAGACAGGAGGGAGACTCCAAAGGCATTTCCTTGGAAAATCCTCCTTCAACATTCTGGGCTTTCATTGCTTTTAAAATTGTAAGAGCAATATACGTACTATATAAAAAAAATTGAGTGATGTTTATATATATATACTAGAGGCCCAGTGCATGAGATTTGTGCACTTGGGAGGGATTGGGGGAGGGGGTCCCTCATTCTAGCCTGCACCCTCTCATAGTCTGTGAGCCCTCAGGGAATTTCTGACTGACGGCTTAGGCCTGGCTTCTGACCACCTTGGGGCAGCTCCTGTGCTTAGCATCTGTCCTCTGGTGGTCAATGTGCATCATAGTGACTGGTCGTTCTGCTATTTTGTTGATGTGCATATTAGGCTTTTATTATATAGAGTACTAGAGGCCCAGTGCACAAAGTTCGAGTACTGATAGGGTTCCTAACAGCTGCTGGCTACTGGCTGGATACTCCCTCCTTTCCCCTGCCCACCCCTTTCCCTGGTTAAACTCCTGGATGACCTCCCCAGTCAAGGGGACAATTTGCATACTATGCATATATATACATATATACATATATATGCATAGTATGCAAATTATATATAGTAATAAGCATCATATCTATAATTTCTATTGTATGGATTTTCTCAAGCCCTTAATAATTCTTGCCAAGCAGGATATTTCTCATAGCTACATAGTTTTTCATAATAGGGAACTATCACACCTTAACCAGTCTACCAATCACGGGGCACTTAAGACTTTTCACTTGTTTCCTGTTCTGGATAACCCCATGAAAAGTATCCTCATGTACAAGTCCCTGTCCACACATGCAGTACCCACAGGATTTCCTCCCGGAGAGTCTGAGAAGAACAATGGGTTGTCAACCTTCTGATCACACTGCTGGGTTACTCTCTAGCCAGTTGGCTGCTTCTTCTGGGCCCACCCCCACCAAAGAGATAAGGCACCATTGGTCTGTTTCTGGATGGTGGATGTCAGGGGCCTGATGCTTGTGGTCTGTCCTCCTGACCATGTCCTGGTGACACCGCCTTCTTCTCTCACTCAGGTCCCTCCCACAGTAGCTGATCTTGTCATCTCCTCCTTCCCCAATCAAACGTAAGGATCTCAGGACCTCTGGAGGTCTCCAGCCTGACTCTGTGCAGCTTCTTTGCCGACAGAAGCTCATTTCTCTCCTCAGGGAAAGGCAAGGGCCCTTTAGAGGGGAAGGAGGGCGCTTACCTTGAGTAGCAATGTAGTGCCGAGGTCGATGGTAGCCCTGGGGGACAGAGAAAAGCACAGTAAACGGCCACCCACCAAGCTTGCAAACAGCAACAATTATCCTTTCCAAGAAACGGCTTTCTCGTAGGCAAATGGGAACAGCATTAGCCATTTCCCAGAGAAAGGACAGAGGTGAAATAAGATAATGCATGCGAAGTGCTTAGTAAATCACCAAATGGTCACTATCACTCTCTGACCGTAGCTGGGAGGTGCCCGTTGCCTTGGAGCCAGCGGACAGGAAGCAGCATTAGGTGGGCATCCCTTACCCCCTTGCACCCAGAAAGAGATGGAAAAGAAAATTTGGGGGTTTCTGTGGAACATCAACCACCACCAAGTTTTTCCTGAGCCACGATTATGTGCAGAGCCCTGCCCGACACCCTGGAGGGCCTCTGAGAAAAGGAAATAATTGCATTCGTGGCTCCTTGCATGGGTGACAATTAGAAAGAGAACACTGGGACAGATGCTGCCCTGCCTCCCTGTGCAGCATGGCTGAGCGCAGAACCCACGCCCTGTTCATTGGGAGGACCCCCGCGCAGGAGTGACCTAGAGGCTAACAACACCACTGTCTGATCCCAAGCTTTCGCTGTACGGTACAGAGTGGTCCCATAGGCCCTGCTGGGCTCTGGTGAAAGCAGCGGGTGACTCTGCTGCCCCATCATCCTAAAAGTTGGAGAAGAGGTTGAAGATGACTTTCTCTTTTGCCTGGACATGGCATACACGGAGGGTCCTCTTTCTATTACAGAAAAGAGGTGTATCCTATCGGGTAAGAGTTCAAGTTTCGGGGGGCAGATCTGCATTTAGTATATAGCACTGAATGTAATTATCATTTATTGACTGAATGAGTTAGTGAATGAATAAATTAAAAGAACACAGATGTGAATTATGTCTGCTGGTGGAGAGGCTGCTGACAGTCCTGAAAACTACTTTCCCTTCTGGTTAACCATCTCAGGAGACAACGAGTCCTACCTATTTCCATCTTAAGCTTTGGTGGTCGGTCTTTCCATCCTGCTGAGGAGGGGGAGCTGCCTCAAGACCCCCTTCTTCAGGACTGAGTCAGACTTGCCACCTGTGTGGCTTATGGTGTAATAGACATGGCATCTTTGAGGTTCTAGATCTGCTTTCTGATTCAAAGACCTCCACATTTCTCTACCTGTCTTCTACCTGCTCCATAAATATTTACTTAGGGCCTTCTAAACACTGGTAATGCTTGGGTTGGCTGTTGGTAAAACCCAAGGCCAATGTCATGACTGGAACTGTGGGACTGACCAGTAGAAATCACAGCCCCTTCCTAAGTCTTTGTTTGAGTGGGAATATCTTCTTAGCGAGGCTGTCAGCTTCTTGAGGACACACACTGCCTCCTAAGTGGAAAAAAGAATCCCATAGAGTCCAGTACAGTGTGGAACTCAGAGCAGTGCCCAATATACATGCTATGGAGAGGACAACGGGGAGGTAGCATAGCATTGTGATTATGTGCACAGACCCCGGACCTAACTTCCTGAGTCTGAATCCTGGCTGTGTCCCTTACACGCTGTGTGGTCTGGGGCAAGTTACTTAACCCCCTTGAGCCTCAGATGATTTTTTAAAATATATATTTTATTGATTTTTTACAGAGAGGAAGGGAGAGAGATAGAGAGCTAGAAACGTTGATGAGAGAGGAACATTGACCAGCTGCCTCCTGCACACCCCCCAACTGGGGATGTGCCCCTGACCGGAATCAAACCTGGGATCTTTCAGTCCGCAAACTGATGCTCTACCCTGAGCCAGATGATTTTTTTTGCTGTTCAATGGAGATATGGTATTTACATTACAGTGTTGCTGTTAGGATGAAATGACTTAATAGACAGCAGTTCCTCTGTGTCAGGCACTATTCTACAATTTAACATAGAGTCTTTGTTATGGTTGTTATTTGATGGTTTATGTGCAAACATTGAGTGTCTATCACAACTAAAAGTCAGTGTTGGCCCCTAGGGAGGCCCTGAACTGGGAAGTCCTCTTCCCCTCCCCTCTGCTTTGCCTATTGATGCAGGAACTGGGCCCTTCTCTGGGACATGGCAGGGAGGAAGGCAGGTGGCAGGTACTAAGAGCTACTGTCCCTACAAGTCAAAGCAGACAGAGCTCCCCAGGGAGAACTAGGCTCTAGGCGTGTTCTTGAGTAGGTTTGGGAGTGGAAAATAGTACCCGAGAATGCAGAAAGATGTGGTTTTTCAGTCTACCCTCTTCTGCCATCCCCACCCTTACTCCTTATCGTCCTCATCCTCCCTGACCTGGGCCATGGCACCAGCAGCTTGCTGGCCTCCCAGCCTCCAGTCTGGTCCCACAGCCCATCTGCTTCCTGCCAGAGTGAATTCCCAATGTGCATCTGGTTACGTTACTTCCCACAGAAAAGCTTCAGCGGCTCCCACTGCCTGCACAGTAATCTCCAAATACCTTCGCCCGGGACTAGTCATCTGTTTCCATCCTCGTCCCCAGCCTCATTTCCTCTTGTTCCTCTCTGTCACCTTCCACAGCCCCATGTGCCTGTGTCCCAGCTTCCCACACTGCACTTCAAATAAGACCTCTGCCTCCTGAGTGGCCCTGCAGGGCTCTGAATGTGCCCAGTTACCACGCTCCCAACATGCACTGCGTTATGCTTTCTGTGCTTTTTCCTCTCTGGGCCATGGGACAGGCCACCCAGAGCCGGGTGCAGTTTTCAGCCGAGGCTGGTTGGTGGCATACAGGCATGACTGTGTCTCTGAGGTGAGGTTGGGTCACTCTTAATGCACCGGCCAGGAGACAAAAGGCCCTGTGGAGGAAACTGGCTTGGAAGACTTCAAATCAATGGGATAAAATTCTGAGCAAGAAATTTACATTTCAATTGTGGAGTTAGGTGATTTGGGTCCCCCAGTTTGTTCATTCATTTGTCCTCTTGGTCACTAGATAGTCAACCAACAGGTGCTAACTGAGCACCCACTACCATGGACAAGACACTGGGAACACAAAAGTGGAACCAGATGGAGGTGGGCTCTGCTTCTGAGCAGCCTATCAGCAACACCAAACTGGGGTAGGGGAGGAGGTGGGGCTTGTGGGGTTCCCATGGAAATGACTCAGCTGAAGAGGGAGAGAAGTATCCTCTGAGGTGGCCTTGTAAGCGGAGCTGGGCAGCTCAGCATCACTGTTATTCCCATTTCACCTCCTCAGCCATTTTCGAGTTTCTTGCCACTGCCCTGGGCTCTCTTGCTGTCTTGCTCTTCTTCAGAAACAGTCATGTTTCTATCAGGAGGCCTTAGCAGTGGCCATGCCCTATGCCTGCTGTGTCCGTCTCAATAGCTGAGCACCTGTTCTCTCCCTCATCCAGGCTTCTGCTGGCTGTCAGTCACCTCCCCAGAGAAGCCTTCCCTGCCCATCCTGTCAGCCCCTTTCTGCTTCCTCTACTCTCCTTTTCAGAGCACATATCACCACACGGCACAATGCTGTGCTTCCTGGCATGCTCATTGTCTGCTTCCCCAGTGGGAGGAGAGCTCTGATGGGCAGGGCTGTGTCTGGCCTGCTGATGGCTGTGCCAGTCCAGAGAGCCTGCTTGGGCCATCAGCCTAGATAAATGCACAGTGAGTGCGTGCTGTGTGCCCTCCATGCTGCGTCTGAGCAGAGAGGCATTGCCTGGCCTCCAAGAACCCATACCATCCCCAGAGAGAAAACATTCTAAACATGAATGCGACTCCAGCAGCGCTGATGAAAGGAAATGAACTGCTCAACTGCGGTTTTCCAGGGACCTGCCGAGAGCTGGACAGAAGACTTCCTAACCTTAAAAGAACTCGGAGTTCATCGAAGCCCCACCTATGAGGCATGCAGACCGCCTGCCAACCAGCACCGGGCCGGCCTGCATCGGTCTGTGAGCAATGGGAAAGAGGTTTGCATCCAAAACACATTTATCTCCCTCTGCACTCTTGCATCTGTTGCTTACTGGGGACCCAGATACCATATTCACTCCCAGGAAGGTAATTTATAACAGAGTCAAGTGGCCAACACATTCTCAGGTGTGCAAACCTCGCGGCCAGCGGGATGGTTCCGGAGGTGGCAGAACCCTGGCCTCCAGAGGCGCAGACAGGGCTGACCCATTCTGCTCACTGTCCATATGGAGTCCGTTTAATGGATTGTCAAGATCCAGATGTGGATAAGTGATTCTTGTGCGGGCATTGGGAGAGCTGGGAGGATTTGGCTGGAGTGGAGACCAGGACAGAGGGGTGAGGACAAGAGAGCAGTTGAGAGCAGCAACCGCAACCTTTCGGACTACCAGTGGTCCACAGACCACCGGTTGGTGACTGCTGCTACAAAGGTTATCTTAAACCAGAGGTCGCTAACCTTTTGGACCTCACAGACCACCAATGGTCCGCGGAGCACTGCTTGGCAGCCACTGGTCTAGAGTAGTGGTCGGCAAACTCAGTCAACAGAGCCAAAGTTTGGCCATCTGCTGGTCTAGATGTACCAACCTGTCAGGAACACCCACAGCAACCCCAGGAGTTTCAGCTTTGCTGGAGGGTACAGCAGGTTCACAGTGAATGGGCAATGTCTGCCCTCTGGCCTTGGGGACACTATACCCCACCCTGTGGGTCCCCCTCAATCCTGTTCCACCCTTATTATCCTCCCCTGGGTTAATCTCTCTGAGCGAGCCTCTGTTTCCCAGGGGGACCTTGACAGACAGACACCTTACATGAATTATCACCTTCTTGTGGAGGGACATGATTATCCCATGTTACAGATACCAGAACAAGTAAGTAATTTACCCAAGACAAAACATTAGTAAGCAGAACTGCCGGGGCTCACTGGGCCCTATAAGGACCGAATTCATGATTTGGTCCATGAGTCCCTGACTTTAACACTGAGACCCCACACAGAGCCGAGCACACATATTAAGGCAGCATCTCTCAGAGGCTGCCTAGCTGGCCTGCACACCCTGCTCCTTATGGAGGGAGAGGGCAGTGGCGTGTCCTAGGCAGGCAGAGAACTGGATTCTAGCTGTGTGACCTTTAGCAAGGCTCCTAACCTAAGCCCTGTCTGCGCTTCCTCCTGGCGTGCAGAATGCATTGCAATGACAGGACCTGGGAGAAATGGGAGGCGCTATTAGTATTGACACTGCAGAGATTCACTTCCCTTTACAACCATTCCATTTGTTGCCTGTAAACCACCAAAAAGCACTTAGGCTCTGGCTGCAGTCAGATGCTCACCCAACTCTGGATGGAGTGTCAGTCTAGAAAAGTGACTTCTGCTGGAGGTTACCACTCATATGAGGCAGGCCAACAGACCCCACATGGGCCACGGCCCTCGAAACTGACACACCCACCCACTCTGTGAGGTCGTGGTGCTCATTCAGGTCATGCAGAAACAAAGGAGGTGATGAATAGCCCTCAAGGGGAAAGGGAAGGGTCCGGCTAAGTCTAGTTAGCACACACAGGAGGGGCAGCAGGAAGAGCCCTGGACTTGGAACCATTCGGGTCTGGTTCCTTATCTGGTCCTGCCGCTGACAAGCTGCATGGCCTTAGACAAGCTTTGCAACCTCCGCTTTTCTATCTGGAGAATGGAGGCGGCTGCCTATCTTGGAGAGCTTACTGAGAGATCTCAATACACCGACTCACTTAAAACCAGCCATGACAGGACTCAGGAGAGGCTCATTAGCATCTCCGGCTCTTGTCATTGCTTTTCTGTTATTACTAAAGCCCACAGGGCATGTGGGGGAGGCCCTGCTGACTCAGACTCCTGCTCCCTCCGCCCTCACCTCCTAGCACGGTGGTCCTGAGGAGGCTGCATGACCCAGAAAGCCTCAGCCCATGTGCCTGGAAACCACTCTGTGAGGTCGTGGTGCTCGTTCAGGTCATGCAGAAACAAAGGAGGTGATGAATAGCCCTCAGGCTGCTATCAGCCCTTCTTGCCTGGCTGCCTTACTCACAGAGATGGCAGCACTGTGTCTCCTCCTCCGGAGAGGCATCACTGGCCCCCACCTCCACCTCCAGGCTCTGATTTTCCTTTGGGCTCCTCCACAGGCCCTGCTCTGTGAGGGTCTCTTTTCTAATCCGACTCCCTCATCAGACTTGAGTTCCTTTTAAGGCCTGTGCTCCCAGCACCCTGTGGAGGATCTGCTCAGTGCTCGGAGAATGAACCCTAATGTGATTGGTGAGTGCTCAGGTGCAAAGCACACACACAGACACGCTCACTCACAGGCTGGAGATGGCTGTTCAGAGCTGGCCATCTCTTGTGCACTTTCCTGGAAGGGCCGAGGTGGCCGAGACCATGTCTATCTTGATTGGGAGTAAAGCTCTAGCCCGTTTCTGACCATCTGTGGGCCCTCTGTTAGCCAGGGTCCGGGTGGAAGGGGAGGAAGGGGAGGTAGGAAATGCTCCAGGTGTCTCCCACAGAGGGAATTCAGTGTAGGGAGTTGGTCACACAGGTGATGAAGGGGCTGAAGAGCCAAACAAGGAACAGTGGGGCAGCCAGAGGTCAGCACAGTGGGAGGCTGCAACCACCCCTAGAACCACCCCTTCCATTCCGGAGTCTGCTCCCCTTGAACTGAGCGGGGGCACATCTGCGCTCCCAGCTGCTGCATCGCCAACCAGAGACAATCTCCCTCTGTGCTTTCCAATTCTACCTGTGCTTGAAGCTTTGGTTCACACCACATTTTGCATTCCTGATGGAAGAAGCAATCTCCCCCATCTGTGAACCCCTGTAGCATTTTATCTGAACATAAGACTCAACCACTTTCTAGTTTGTTTTGAAACGACTGATGGGCACAGCGTATCTTCCCGCTAAAGTTTTAGAGGTGGGACCATGGCATCTTAAGCTTTACGGTTCCCATAGCCTCTGGCACATAGTAGGCACTTGTAAATTCTTGTTTAAATGGCTGTACCTTAAAATGAATGAATGAATGGATAAACAGACACATATACAAATGAGTCAGCGGGCGGGTGAACAAACAACCCTGGCCTTTGTCCTGGGGCCCGCAGAGCAGGCTACCTGAGCCCACCTGAAGGTAGGCAGCATCAGGTGAGGAGTTAACTTGGGTCATGCTCACTACACAAAGCAGGGAGGAGCCAGGCGGCTCTGGATGTGTTCTGGGAAGGGCAGCTCTGGGGAGAGTCGGGGACAGCTGCAGATTTTGAGCCTTCCGCAGTCAGCCCCAGGCCCTGGCTGCCCAGCCCACAAAGGCGCTCACATCAATGTAGTTGGCGTTGATGTAGTCCGAGTGTGGGTCTCCATCCAGCACCAGCAGCCTCACTCGGGAATGGTCATCTGCAGGGGGAGAGAGAGAGAGAGAGAGAGAGAGAGAGAGAGAGAGAGAGAGAGAATGTAAGAGGATGGGTGATAAGACACCATCAGGTGAGGAGCAGCCCTGCCCGCCGTTAGAGCCACATTTAATTATTGCACACTTGGCATCATGAGACTCTTGCACAAACCCTCTCATTCATCCCACCAGCTACCCTCCGTTATTGTCCCCATTCACAGATGAGGAAGCTGAGGCCCAGGGAGATGACTGTGCCCCAAAGAGGACCTGTGTCTCCTCTTTTCCCCACCTGCCCTCCTGATTCTGGCTTTGTCATTGCCACCTAGGGGAGTCAGAGATTTCATCTTAAGATGGGGATGGAAATACCTTCTCCGTAGGACAGTGCAAGGGAGACTACGTGAAAACTCTCAGGAGGCGAGATGTGTGGATGGGGATTAATACGCTTCATTTTCATGCTTGTTTAAAAACGGCAAATTTACCTATTTTCCACTTGGGCACAAATTGCTTTTCTTTTGCCTCTTGGAGTATTGCTGCAAATAGACTGTCGGCCACATACTGCTATCAATACCATCATTTGCGCGGAGCTGACTAAACCATTATAAAAGAGGTCATCATTTACTACAAACCGTGTCACAGAGCACACCATTCTAAACACAGTCCCGGCACAAACAAGATTTGCAGGCTTTGGTCGATGGCATGCTGGCTTCAAATAGCACCAAATAAAAACCACTAAACAAACAAGTACAGCAGGAGAATCAGACGAATCTTTTACAATTAAGTAACGTGAGCTCTGCCAGAGACACAGACGCACACCATCAGCCCACCCTGGCCAGAGAAGGGGCTCAGCTTGCTGCCAGGTCACTGTGCAGGTCACTGAATGACTCTGGTCATGACTCTAGGGCAGGGCTTGGGTTCCAAGTCAGTGGGCGGCAGTGCTCTGAGGATCCCCAGGGGCCCCAGGGGGCAGGTCCTCAGGGAGCTCGGTGACTGTATGAATGGATGACCTCACCAGACCCTGACAGCGATGCCATGCCAGGAGAGAAGCAGGGTGGGTGCTGTTAGCCCTTTCTACAAATGAGAAACCAAGGCTCACGAGGACTGGCTGGCCATGGGCAGGGGAAGATGGAGCTTGGAAGAGTGGGGTCCTCTCAACTTTGGGTCCAGCTACTCTGGGGGTCTAGGCGGATATTAGAAACCACTTCAAGTGTCCATGGCAGAAGGAATTTATGACAGAGAAGTGGTTACCTGGGTGATGGACAGGTTAAGAAGCCAAAAAGAAGAGGGTGGAGTAACTCAGAGATCAGCATGGTGTCTCCTTAGACACGCCTCCTGTGGGACGGTGGGGCAGAGAGAGGAGGTGGAGGTACCGGAGCTCCGAAGCTCCGGGGCTGGGGTGGCTTCTTTGGTGAAAGCTGGAGAAAAGGTGGAGCTTGTGGTTGGGACAGACGAGGAGAAATACCCGGCCCCTTCCTTTCTCCCGCCGTCCAGTCTCCCGCCGTCCAGTCTCCCAATGGCACGTAATGACTGGTACGTGCCATTGGCCAAACCCAGGCAGAAGCCAGCTTCCCAGAGACTGAGAAATGCAGGGGTCAACTCTCTGTGAGCAAAAAGTGAGCAGGAGCAGGCAAGGAATGGGTCCCAGGATGAACACACAGGCCCAAGACTGGGCAGCATACCATGTCCTAGCCATTAATTCACTAACTAACTCATTAATTAAAAAAAACAAAACAAAACTATTCATACAGCATCTGCCATGTACTGGGCAGGGTGTTAGGCACTGGTGCCATTTAAAAAAAATAATACATTTTTATTGATTTTAGGAAGGGAGAGGGTGAGAGAGAGAGAAAATTAATGATGAGAGAATCATTGATTGGCTGCCTCCTGCATGCCACACACTGGGGATTGTGTTTGTAACCCAGCCATGTGCCCTTGACCAGGAATTGAACTGTGACCTCCTGGTTTATTAGTCAACCCTCAACCACCGAGCCATGCAGGCTGAGCCTGGATGCTACTTTTTTACTCATCATGGGGAAGAGTACCAGTGGAAGCCACTAAGAGAGTAGGTGAGAGGTCTAAGTCACTCCTTTGGGTGGCTGGGGGAGTGGGGTGTGAAGGAGTCTGAAGCTAACCTTTATAGAGCTAATTACAGGTACCAAAGACTTTACATACATGACCTTAATCCACCACTTATTCCCCCAAATAACTAAATAGATTATAATAATAATACCACTCTGATGTAGTGTTATTATTCTTTCCATTTCACAGATGAAGAAACTGAGGCTCAGAGAGGTTAAGCAACTTTCCCTTGTTACACAGCCTGTAAGTAGCAGGGCTGAGATTCTATCTCAGGCCTGTCTAACCCTGGAGCCCACATGTGTGGTCCACACAACGTGTAGTCCCTGGACTTTTCACATCTCCCAGGTCCCTCTCCTGGAGTCCGTGAAAATGGTTGGTCCCCAGCCCCTGCAGTATTCTAGCCCGGAGAGTGGAACTTCCTGTGGGACCTCCACCCAGCAGGGGTGACATGGGGCCCAGCATCTAACTCTGAGCTCGGGCTGTTAAGCTTTGTCACCAGAAGCTATAAAATCTGTAAGTCTTAAAAAAAAGTGAAAATACATGTTGTGCTTTCACTCATTGGTCTCACTAATGACTTATTGATTCAAAAATGTCCTCTACTTACTGAGTTATGCTCCAGGGGTCTATAGCACTGGGAATGGAGATTCTGATATAAAATGTTGAAAGGTAATTTTCTTTAATATACAATGGAACTTAAAATCAGAAAGCCAAAATTATTAAAAAAAAACAAAAACAAAAGGAAACAAACTTATTTTGTTCAATATTATTAAAGTTGAAAGTTGCCTTTAACCACCAGATGATGGTATTTGCCAACCTTCATTCCTTGAGAACCTAGTATGTGCAGGCTTGGTGAGGGGATTCAGAAAGTGTTATGAAAGTGATACTCAAGGATAAGAAGTATCAAGCATAAGGAGGCAGTGAAACCTCTAGATCTAAAAGCAGAGGCTAGAGCGATATATGAATGAGGGATTAAAAGTGTGTAATGCTAAATCCATGGGATTGCACAACTATGGAGACAGTGAAAAGATCAGCGGTTGCCAGGGACTTGGAGGGAGGGAGGAATAGGTGGAGGACAGGGCATTTCTAGGGCAGTGAAACCATTCTGCATGAATCTGTCATGGTGGACACAAGTCATCATACTCCAGTACATAGCAAAGAACTATACAACGCAAAGAGTAAGCTCTACAAACTATGGGCTTTCGTTAGTAACAATGGATCGATATTGGTTCACCTATTGGAACAAATGTATTCAAGATGTTAGAACAGGGAAACTGGATATGGGAGGGAAGGAGGAGGGGTATGGGGCTCCCTGTGCATTCTGCTCAATTTTTCAGTACATCTACAAGTGCTCTAAGAAGTGTTGGGACAGTGCTGGGCATACAGCAGGTGCCTAGTAAACGGTGGTTGTTGGCTGGATGTGAGGCAGGTTGTGCACGGATGGCAGAGACTTAGCAACTTAGTGCTCCCATCTGCCCTTGGTCCCACATGTCCGTTCACCTTGGTGCAGAGGCAAAGCGCTGTGTGTGTTCATCCAAGGGTAGACCCCGGCCGCAGGTCTGCAGAAAGGCACTGCAAGGAGGAGCAGTGTCCTCATGGTTTATTTATTCCTTCCAGGAGATGCTAATATTATTCTGTGTCCCCTACCTCGTCCAACTTTATATAATTAGAAGGATAAAAAATTGTGTTTATCCATACGCGTACGGAGAGAGATGGGGCAGCGGGCGGTGGGAAGGAGTTTACACAAGGTAATTTACAAGCAGTCCAGAACATTCATTATGCTCTATCTACACTTTGCAAGCTTGAAAAGCAGCTAAATTGGTGCTCCTTGTTTGATATTCCAGACAAGGACTGAGAAGAGTCATACAGAGGAGACGCAAGATCCTCCGCGGTGAGGGTGAGGGGAGTCGCGGAGCCTGGCTCCACCTGGCTCCCAGCTGAGGAGGGGGATGGGCAGGAACTGGCTGGTGGGAAGGAGACAACCGCTGGCAGCTGGTAGAGGAGAGACACCACTGCAAAGACTTCGAGACCCAAAGCGCGCCCCTCCCCCCGGCCCCCCAACACTATTCCAGAGGCATAGAAGCATCATCCCTCTGGAGTCAATCTATGCCTGGTAGTTTCAGGACAGAGACCAGTGGTCTGTTGGCAAATGTTGAACAAACAGCTCCCTGAGGAGAACAAGGCCCAGAGCTGTAACGTCTACCGATTTCTGTGCTATAAATACTCCCACCATGACTGATCTCCAACTACCAACGTGGTCTCCCCTAGCTCACAAAATTCCTGGAAACCTAACCATCTGTTCTTGCAAGCTGGCGTGAACCAGCTCCAGGACACCATGGACAGAGAAGAAAGCTTTACTCCAGGCACATGCTTTGTCTGATCTGAAGGTGTGGGACCCACTTCCCAGTGCAGCCTCATGCGCTGCCTCCTGCACGGGCCACCCCTTTCCCCCTCCAGCCTCCTTTCAGCTGCTCAAACACATGCTGTCTGTGGATCTCAGGGCCTTTGCACAGGTAAAGGAACACCCCAGCCCCACAAGGCTGGCGACATTTCAGTCCTTAGTTCTCAGCTCAGTGTTCCTTCTGCAGGAAGTCTTCTGTGATCTCTCCTCCCCGGACCCTGAGAGCTCCCTATGCGTTCCTTCCCCTGCTCTTAAGCAGGTCCATGTCTGTGAGGCTCTCCTCAGGCCCTTCTTAAGGAAGGGCACCCTATTCACTACGGCATGAGCCGCAGAGCAGGGCTCAACAATTATCTGTCCGCGACACGAATTCCTATTTGTGTCTGAAAGGCTGAGAACGAGGGAAGGACGGACCCCTTGCTTACAGCCATTCTGTTGATTTCAGGGACCCCAGGCTCTCTCCTGGACACAAGGCTGGCAGAGGGTGCCTGGATTCTGTGCTCAAATTCGTCCTCTCCCCGTAGCAAACCCTGTACACCACCTGCAGACCCAGCCTGTCCTGTCCTAAAATTGGCAGCCGAATCTTGTGTCTAGTAGGAGAGAGGCAAGGGGTTGGTGGGCTCTGGAGACAGACCCCAGTCTGTCACACACTCACTGTATCACCTGGGGCAAGTTATGCACCTTCCGCGAGCCTCAGTTTACCCAATTATAACGTCAAAGTCACATCTACCTTGGCAGGGGTAAAGAGGGGATGTATGAAAACACTTGGGGTGGTGTAAGACATCAGCATAAATATATACATTCAGTTTGACTATTATTCTCGAACAGTGGTCTTCACAATATAGTCCCATGACGAGTAGCATCAACAACATCTGGAAACATGTTAGAAATGCAAATTCCTGAGCAGCAACCCAGCCTCTGGGCTGTCTCCCTGCCCCCTTTCCTCGGGTGACCCCTCTCCTCCTATGTCAACTCCTCGTACTGCAATCCTCATCTAACATTGACTTCTGGCGAAACCCAGACGGAGGCAGAGGGAATTCATACACCTGGGTCGGCTAAAATAAACTTGAGTCTCCTTTCTAGTTTTGGCAACAAATCAGGGCAGAAGCAGGGACAGTGCCAAGGTAACCAGTGGATTCTAAAGCCGCGCAGGACATACCAAGGTAGAAAAGAGAAGTCTGGAGTTACAAGGAGAACAGTAAAAAGAAATGGCCTGGGGAACAGGAAGTCTTCCTGCCCTTGGAGGTGTCCCTCCGGAAGGCAGAATCTGCCAGGGCTTGATAATTAGAAATATTCCTGGCGCAAGAGGAAAAGCAGGTGTAATTAGCATCTTAAGGAATCCAGAGGGGTTGGAGGGGAGGACAAGGCCCAGGGAGAAGGGAAAGATTAGCGGGAAAGAGAAGGAGGCAGGGCACTGCCTGCAAATGAAACAAGGAAGGAGAAACCTTGGCCAGATAAGCCCTTTCTTCCACGTGATTCTGTTTAGAATTTAACAATAGAGACAGAGGGGTTTCCAGGGACTGGGAATGAAAAGGAAGTGAAAGGGGAGGAAATGAATGGGGAAAACAGAATAGAGGGTCTCTGCTTTCAAGTAGCTCTGGGCGGGGACTGTGAACAAGAGGAAATTTCAAGAACACCAGAGCATTCCCCGTGGGGCAGTTCTAGAGGAGGAAATCACACCCAGGAGAGGAAGTGATCTCAGGTGAGGGGGGGGGGGGTTGCAGATTTTACAGAATGAGGCTTCCCTTCCTCACATAAGAGGGTTTGGGGAAATTGAATGAGTGAGGAGCTGGGCTATTTCATGGTCCAGGAGGAACCTGCCTTGTGCATGGACTGAGCATCCTGCCTGGCTTTGGAGAAAGTCCTAAGGAGAGACACAGACAGGGCAGCATGAGGGCAAGCAAGGGAGGGGCTTGCTCTCAGGGTTGTGCAGGTGCATGGTCAACGGCTGAGAAGGAGGAACCTCTTTGAATGGTGCAGATTGGGTGTCTCGCCCGCCTTACCCTCATCCTGGCCCTGAATGCCAGTACTGCTAGCTGGTGTCGCTGCACAGGGAGGTGGTGAGGCCGTGGGCTGTGGGTGGGACTCAGCACCTTCTGCACCCCAGCGGCAGAAGTCTAACTCCTTCGTTGTTCTCTCTGCTGCCTGGGACCCAACCTCTGTCCTGTTCACTTAGGCTCACCGCCTTCTTCCTCACTAAGAGACATTACTTGGATGTCATTTCAAGAATCATCTTGATCCTGCCTTCCTCCATCCATCCTTTTTGGGTGTTCTCTATTTTCTCTGGGAAGCCAGAGGGAGAGACCCACGGTTCAAGGCCTGTGGGGTCTTGCAGGCCTGTGGGGTTTTCCAACATTCATTCCTATTTACTGAGCACCAACTATATGGCAGTTTTGGGATCACAGAAGCACAAGACAATCATGGTCCTGCCGTCACAGAGCATCTACTTTTGTGAGCGAGTCAGGCAGTCAACTGAGAGTCATCCCAATGCCTCCAACATCATGGTGCGGAGAGTTAAGGAAAAGTGCTCTAGGAGAGAATGATGGGGTTGTGCGCATTTTCAAACCGTCTTAAGATTTGATAATTAGAGGAAGTGGTGACTGATCTAAGATCTAAAGAAAAAGTAGAGCCCAAACCAGTTTGGCTCAGTGGATAGAGCAACTGTCTGGGGACTGAGAGGTCCAGGGTTCCATTCTGGTCAAGGGCATGTACCTTGGTTGTGGGCACATCCACAGGGGGTGTGCAAGAGGCAACTGATCGATGTTTCTCTCTCAGCGATGTTTCTAACTCTCTGTCTCTCTCCTTTCCTCTCTGTAAAAAAATCAATAAAATATATTAGAAAAAAAAAAGAAAGAGTAGAATTAGTAGAACAAAGAGAGGAGGAAAAGACACTTGGACAGCGAGAACAGATGTGTAAAGGCCCCGTGAAACAGATGATCCTGGAAAGCTTCAGGGGCTGAAGGAAGGCCAGTGCAGCTTGGAGAGGAAACGAACATGAAGTGGACACAGTGGGAAAGGAAACCTGAGAGGTGGCTAAGAGACTGTGTAACAGGCGTGCTCATGAGCAAAGGGCAAAGTTTTCAGGAGGAGGATGCTATGATCCAATTCAGGTTCCTCTGGCTTCTGTCAGAGATCAGACAGGTAGAAAGTTGGGGACAAAGATGGATATAGAAGGAGGCCAGGCAGAGACCAGGTGAGAGCCGGTGATGGCCTGGGCAAAGGTGCTGAGAGCAGAGGGTGAGCAGTGAGGTCTGGAGAGATATTATACATGGCTTTGTGTGGTCCCTCATCCTTGGCCCGCACAAGCTTTGGCCCTGATACCTGACCCAGCCTGGGTATCCCTGTCTCTCAGGAAGGCAGGGTCTCTTGTCTGTGCACAATCACCTATTTTTTCTTGTCTGCATAACACCTCTGGGAGGAAAACATCATTGTGCCCTTTTTACAGACAGAAGATTAAAGCTTAGAGTGAGCACATAATGTCTCACAGCCTATAATTTAGTGACCACGTCTGGACTCACAATCTAATAGGGGGAACAGACACGTGACCAGGTACTTTAGGGCTCGGTCCTCGAGCAGAGAATGGTTGGAGTGAGCAGCCATGTGGGCTCCAAATGGGAGTCTCCTGGGAGCAGAGGCCCAGGGCCCCACAGGGCCTGGCTCACAGGATGCCCACCCATCATAGGTCTCAACACACATTTCCTGATTGTTTGAATATCTCTTTCCAATGCTTTGCTTGCAGGAAATCTTGCATTATATCATCCAACAGACAAATTACAAATGTTTTTGATTAGTTCTGCCATTCATAGCCCGTTCCTAAATTAGCACAGGAAACAGCTAAGCTGAAACTTCTGCCTCCTTCTTCCTCAACAAGCTGCATGTAACTTATGCTTTCTCCCTCCAAGCTTTTTCTTAGGCAATGTCTAGACAGTTAACAAAACACTGCGCTGTGCTGGAAATAATCTGTTATTCATGGTCCTTTTTCCTTTTTCTTTTTGGATGAGCTGGGTTGCTCTGAGATCTTGGACCAAGGGATGCTGTGCACCTTTGGTGACATGTCAAAGGCCCAGGTTGGCTACACCGTGGCAGGCAAAAGCTGTGTAGACTTCTGTTCTAATGGGAATATGTACTCAGCATTTTGCATGAGGTAACTTTGTCCTCTCGGTACCTGGTATGTGGAAGGCTGCATACACCAATATTTGATAGTGACCATACTTATGTGTAACCTGATATTTAGTTATAAGGCAGCTGTCTCTCTCCCTCTTCTCTAGGAACCCTACCATGTACTGTCACACACACGCATTGTTACTGACTTTGTTCAGGCCTCACCATCCCTCACCAGTGCAGTAGCCTCTTGACTGGCCCCTCTGTTTCCTGCCTCTCCCAAACTAATCTACCCTCCCAATCATCTATCCTATAGATCTTTCCAAAATGGACATCTGATCATGCCTCCGTCCCCAACTGGCTTATCACATGACCCACATGGGTATTCAGTGAATTCTGGTTAAAATGTGGTGGGATGATACATCCACCACACTGCTTATCCATCCACACTGCTTTCAGTGACTCTAAGAAAGTTAACTCCGTGCTAAGAGTAGGATGATGTTGGGTGCTGAGGCCAAGGGTTCTAAGTACCTTCTTTCCACCAACCTATCTCTGTTATTACATCATTTTATGAGACTGCCGCGCTGCCTACTGCACTAAGGAGGCGGTTTGTTATTACATCATTTTAAAGGTGAGTAAGTGAAGCTTGGCGAGGCCAGGAAGCCTGCTCCGGGTCCCAGAGCCGGGACAGAAGCTGAGCAGTTTGACTGCAGAGGTTCCACCCTGTCAGGGTTGCCTAGAGCTCATTGCCAAGCAAAGTAATGTCCTCCCATGTCTCCCTGAGCTCCACGCCAAACATGCTTGCCCCTGCAGGCTCAGTGCCAACAAATGCCTGTGCCAAAGCAGTCCTGAGCAGCAGGCACTCACCTTAGAGCCACTGCCCCACTGGCAGTGGGTCTGGCAGAAGTCATGATGCCCTAAGCTCAGAGCTTCTGGCTTTTTCTGGACATCAATCCTTGCTTGGGACTCTGCCTTCTTAGAGGAGCACTATTCTCTCTCTTGGGTGTTCTCAGCTTCTCCCTCATGGGCTGGACCTTGCTTGTACCCTGAGTGACTTCTAAGGTGGTCCTTCCTCTGCATTAGAAGAACTGCTGGGAACAGGAAGGAGTCCTGTGCCTGGGCTTCCTCCCCAACCTGAGCAATTCTTGAGCAGTGGGAAGTGCCAGACCAGACGCAGCTTCCGGAGGCTTCCAGATCTACTCTGCTTGGACCCAACTTCCCACCTCTCTCCTGGCCCCGAGGTCAGCCATGCTCTGTCACGCATGCTGAAATACAGCTCCCAGCTTGGCATGTTGACCCAAAGCTGGAAACATCAAGAATTGATTACTTGACAACAAATTTTAAGTAAGTAATAGCAGTGGCTTGGTTTCCTCTGTGACCCCAACGCCTGGGGCCTCCCAGAGGGGACTTACAGGATATGATGTTTCCATATCGATTCTTGTTGCGATTTTCATCCTCCTTGGCTGTGTCCCATGAAGCCGTCTGCCCCTCTGGTAAAGCCTAGAAAGAAAGGACGGAGTGGTTAGGATGGCCAGAGATAGAAGCTCTACGCAGGTGAAGATGAACCAGTGGGCAAACAACACCCGCTGTGATGGGCCACTCAGCATAAAGGGCTGTGTGGTGGTGGATTCCTCCATGGCCTTATTTCCTCCTTCAATGACTCAAATGCTATTGAGGTCTTCTGTGTGCCATGGCCCAGATCTGGTCCAGTAGGGGAATCACTTATTCACTCATGTGACAGATATTTATTGTGTCCCTAACATATGGTTGGCACTGTTCTATGTACTTGGGACACAGAAATACACTAAGTGCCTCTTGAATGTCCAGTCCACTGGGAGATGCAGCAAATGAACCAGAAAACATATAACTTTAGATGGTGGAAACTGTATGAAGAAAATGAAGCTTGGAGAAGGGATAGTGGTAGAGCATTATTTCAGACTACACCATCTGGGAGGGCTTCTCTGGGAAGGTAATATCTAAGCTCTGATGTGAAAAGCCACTCAGACCAAGAAATGTAACAAGCACTTTCCAGGCAGAGGAAACAGCAGATGCAAAGATGAAAACCAAGGACTACAGTGAAGGATGAGGCAGGGAGAGCAGTGACAGGAGCACCTGGAGAGATTGGGAGAATTAGGATTAGAGGGGGCACTGAGGTCACTGGTATCCAGTTGGGTGTTACTCTAAGTGTAATGGGAAACCATTGGAGGGTTTTGAGCAGGGGAGATACCGGATATAATTTGTGTTTTACAAAATACATTCTGGCTCACATATGAAATACATGCTCAGGGAGATCAATTAAGAAGTTGTTGCAATAGTCCAGGTAAGAGATGATGGTACCTTGGGCCCCTATACCAGGATGGTGGCAGTGGATGCAGCGAGAACTGAATATTTTCAGTTAACGTTTGTAGGTTTTGGTCAGGAGCAGACTCACCACTTTTGAAAGAAGCAAGGATCTGACTATGAGACTGTATTTGGGAGGCAATCCTAAGAAGCCTGGATGTATGAGTCGGGGAAGTGAGACAATCAAGGGAAGAAAGTCAACATAGGGTTCATCAACGAACAGGTTACAACTGTGTGCTGGGGCTTAATGCTATGGGCCCATTTCCTTCTCCTACCAGAGGGAGGAGGGAGTTGGGTGTTTATCCACAAATTTCCATCTATCATTTGTTGAGGACGACTCTTTGGAACTCCCTTAATGCTCTGCCTTGCTCCGTGGGCAGGGTGTGCACATTCTTTTGTGTTGAGGAAGTCCTCAGGGAAAAAGCCACCGGAGCTTCCAGGAGGCAGGCATTGGGAACACTGTGTGGAGGGGATATGGGCAGGTCACCAGCATATCCACTGTGGATGTGGCTGTGAAGGAGAGAGGGATGAAGGCTGAGGCCCAGACTGTTGGCTCTGAGAACTGAATAGAGAGCCATGACAGTCACTGAGATGAAAAAGAAACAGCTAGGGAGAAACAGGATTGGGAGGCAAGAATTAAGTGTGTCTTGGGCACATAAAGGGCTTAGAACAGTGCCTAGCACTTGCTGAGTACTATGTGCTTCTTCACGTGTTCAAAAACAATAAGAACAACAGCAGCAGCAGCGGCCACGTTTGAGATAACTATTCGACATCCAAGCGAAGATGTTGAGCAGGAAGTTGGACAAAGAGGTTCAGAGTCAGAGACTGGGGGAGGAAAGAGATGAGAGTCATCAGTTTAAGAGGAGAAAGACAAGTAAACGACCACATGGAATGACTTAGCAGAGTTATGTGCCAAGTGTTCTGGAAACATAGGGAGGGCGAAGTTAGTTATCTCAAAGAGAAGGAAGCTGGGCATTTAAGGGAGCAGGGACAGCTTTAGCGGAGCTACAGAAGCATGAAGGTTGGGCAACATTCAGACTAGTGTTCCCATCCCCTGCTTTTGGCCCTTGCACTGATTCTGGGATGGAATGTGCAGTATCTTCAGTCTACACAGGTCTTTGCTAGCAATGAACGGCAAAGGAGCACCCACACACCTCAATACACCAGCCTTGCCTTTGCCCATCTATTCCTTGCTAGGTCCATCCTGAGCAAGGAGGAATCTGTATCCTGCTTGGTCAGAAATTCAACCATTCAGAGGGCCACGTTTGACAATAGGCAGGACCACTGACTATAAAAATCCCAGTCCATGTATGGTGCCCCCTTTCTTGCTTCTAGTCACTCATGTGTTAAGCCAACTTGGCTGGGTCATTTTTGGAGCAGAAGTTGGTAATATTTTTCTATAATAGGCCAGATAGTACATAGTTTGGGTTCTGTTGTAATTACTCCTACTCAACTCCCTGTTGTAGAGTGAAAGCAGTTGCAGACAAAATGCAAACAAATGGGTATGGCTTCATTCCAATAAAACTATATTCACAAAAACAGGTGTTGGATTTGGCCTATGGCTGTCATTTGCTGACTTTTGTTCTAGAAGGATGACCATGATCCTCCACTGTGAAACAGTTGGGTAGGTAGAGTTGTTGCCCATTCCAGATGGAATGGAGATGAGGTGGGAAGTCCCTGCCTGGGCTTCCTGAGCTAAGTTATGGTCCCCGATTTAGCTTTCCCAGGGTTTTAGGTTGGGGTAATAGAGTGCCTTCCCAGCTAGCAGGGGATCACACATTTGTTGTGTGTCTGAAACCTTTAGACAGACATCCTGGAGGAGAAGCAAAACAGCAGTGTGGCTCTGGGCACCAATCTCTACCTTAAATATGAGGATGAGAAAAGTGCTATGGAGATAGTAACATACTTATTTTACTGATGGAGGGCTTCTCTCCCCTGTCCTCTTCCTCTCCCTCATCCTCTTTTTGCTCTTCCCTATAAGCGACCACCATCCCACATCTCTCTTGCCATCAGCACAGGCCATTTCTAGACTGCAAACGGCTCTTGCTTTTGCATGTAACTTGTAGAATTCAGATTCCAGGACTTGGTCTCATCTTCCCACCATAGCCAGGTGGCAACAGCTGTTTTGGGCAACTTGCCAGGTCAACTTAGTATTTCTGGCTCTCTGCAAGGGTGTGTCATGCTGGTTTCAGTGGCAGCACTGGACTTCTCAATGTTTAAGCTTATATGCTGGTGGTGATTTCCTATCTGAAACCCTCTGTGATAAAAGTCAAATGTACATCCAATTATACCCACCAATGTGACATGAAGACAGGAAGGGCACACTCTGAATGTTTTCATACTAATTTCCTGGGGAAAATATCTGTTGGGTACCTACTATGTGCCAGGGGTCAGGTTACAGTTCACGTAAGGTTTTGTTATGGCTACACAGTAACATAATCTGGAGGAGCTTTAAAACTCCCAAAGCCATGACCCTAGCCCAGACCCATTAATTCAGACTCAGGGGGCGATACATGGGCATTGGTTATGTTTAGAGCTCTGGGTGAGTCTAATGTGCGGCCATGATTCTTACAAAAAATGAATTTACCTGGAGAAATACTTTCCCATGGGTCTCCTCACTGGTTTCTCTTGCTTTGGATTTGTCCCCTCCAATCCACTCTCCACTGTAATCAGAGAGCTCTTTCTAAAATGTGAACAGGACCCAGTTACTCCCCGTGCCATGGTCTTCAAGATAAATTCCAAAGTCTTTAATATAAGGTCCTTAATGACTTCACCCTGCATTGCCTCTGTAGCCTCAGTTCTTGCCCTTATATGAATACTAGAGGCCTAGTGCACAAAATCTGTGCACTGAGCAGGGGATGTCCTCTCAGCCCAGCCTGCACCCTCTGCAATCTGGGATCTCTCTCACAATCCTGGACCGCTGGCTCCTAATTGCTCACTTGCCTGTCTGCCTGGTTGCCCCTAACTCCCCCTCTTCCTCCCCCGCCCCACTGCCGGCCTTGTTGCCCCTAACTGACCTCCCCTCCATGCTGGCCTGGTCACCCCTCACTGCCCCCCCCCTCCCGCTGGCCTGGTTGCCCCATGCAGCTGGCTTGTTCAGCCTTTGGTTATCCTTCACTAACTCCCCTGCCGGCCTTGTCATTCCACACAGCCTGCTGTTCATTTGTTACTGTGAGGGCATCCTGACCAATTTGCACATTACCCTTTTATTAGTATGGATTCCAATGATAAGAAACTAAATTCAACGCTGTAGACAATTTCAGGTGTTTCAAACTTCTGAGACTGACTTTACACATTCTGTTTCCTCTGCCCAAGATTCTCTTCCACCTGAGTCTACCTGGTAAACTTCTACATATTCTTCAAAACCAAGTTCAAGAATATTCTCCATTGTGAAAACTTCCCCATTCACCCTCCCTCCACCTGCCTGCATCCCCAACAATTTAGTCACTTTTTCTATTATTAGAGGGACTCTTCTACATCTAATAATTTGAATGTATTGTCTCCCAACTTGGTGATGGATTAATCCAGGGAAAGAATAGTGTCTGCCACTCCAGAACCCAATACTGGTTTTGTACTCCATATGTGCTTGAATCACCCCTTTTGAATAAATTAATGAATGGGTAGATGAATGGAATAATGAGTGGGTAAGGTGGCTTCTGTGCATGCAGAAGGCAGAGATCCTGGAATCTCAGAAGGGGAAGTGACTGAAAATCATCTGGTTGTATTCCTATTCACAATAGCCTTCTAGGCAGCTGATAAACTGATCTATAGCATCTGCTACTTGGATACCCTTAGCAACAGGCAGCTCACTACCCAATAAAGCTTCCGGTCTCACTTTTGAATGGACCTACTGGATAGTGTTTTGTTTACTCTGACCTTTGTCCTGCTCCCTGTCTCCCCACGCTCCCCAAATAAGCATGTACCCATGACACTGCAGGGATTTGATAAATGTCCCTGTCCACCCCTGGAGTCCTTGAATGACACACAGATGGATGTCTTCTCAGCATCCGACCATGCTTTTCAGGATGCACCCAGCATGCAGCTCTCTTTTGAAAAATCTCAAACTAAACAAAGCACCTGTGATAAAGGGCTCTTCTCTGTGGGAAACCATGCAGGACCCTGCCGCAGCCCTGGGGGCCTTTGTCTCCCCACCCCCCCCA